GACCAATTGGAGCTAGCAAATATATATACAACACTCCATCCAACAACAGCACAATGCACATTTTTCTCAAGGGCACACAGAACATTCTCTAGGATAGACCATATGTTAGGCCACAAAACAAGTTTTAATAAATTTTTAAAAGATTGAAATCATACAAATTATCTTTTCCAATCACAACAGAACAAAACTAAAAACCAGCAGCAGAGAAAACTGAAAAATTCACAAATATGTGGAAATTAAGTGACACATTCTTAAACAACCAGTGACTCAAGAAAGAAATCACAGGGAAATTAGAAAATATACTGAGACAAATGAAGATGAAAACACAATGTAACAAACTTATAGGATACAGTGAAAGCAGTGCTACAAAGGAAATTTATAACTATAAACACATTAAAGAAGAAAGGTCTCAAGTCAACAACCTAACTTTTCACCTTAAGAAACGAGAAAAAGAGAAACTAAACCCAAAGGTAGCAGAAGGAAGAAAGTAATAAAGATTAGAGCAGAGATAAAAATAGAGACTAGAAAAGCAATAGAGAAAAATCAACAAAACCAAGAGTTGGTTCTTTGAAAAGATCAACAAAGTTGACAAACCTTTAGTTAGATTAACTTCAAAGAAGAGAAAATATTCAAATAACTAAAAATCAAAAACAAAATCGGAGATGTTGCTACCAATTTTATAGGAACAAAAAGGATTATAAGAAAGGAATATGAAAAATTGTATGCCAACAAATTGGATAACCTAGACGAAATAGACAAATTCTAGAAACACACAACATGCCAAGACTCAATCACGAATAAACAAAAAATCTGAGATCTGTAACTAGTAAGGAGATTGACACCAATTCTTCTCAAACTCTTCCAAAAAATTTGAAAAAGAGGGGACACTTCCAAACTCATCCTATGAGGTCAGTATTACCAAAGTCAGAAAAAGACTCTGTAAGAAAAGAAAACTATAGACCAATATCCCTGATGAACATTGATGCAAAAATCTTCACCAAAATACTAGCAAACTGAATTCAACAGCATATTAAAAAGATTATACACCATGAACAAGTGGGATTTATTCCTGAATGCAAGGATAGCTCAATGAAAATCAATGTAATACACCACATGAACAAAATGAAGGAAAAAAAAAACCACTTGATCATCACAATTGATGCAGAAAACGATTTGACAAAATTCAACTTGCTTTCATACTAAAAACACTCAACAAATTACGAATACAAGGAAACTATCTCAACATAATAAAGGCTATATATGAAAAGTCCACAGCCAATCTCATACTCGATGGTGAAAGACTGAAAGCCTTTCCTCTAAGATTAAGAAAAAGACAAGGATTCCTGCTTTCACCGCTCATATTCAACACAGTATTGAAAGTTTTAGCCAGAGCAGTTAGCAAAAAAAAAGAAATAAAAGGCATCCAAATTGGACAGGAAGAAGTAAAATCATCTGTGTTTGCAGACAACATGATCTTATGTAGAAAATCATAAAGATTCCACACAAAAAAAAACTATTAGCACTAATAAGCAAATTCAGAAAACTTTCAAGATACAAAATCAGTGCACAAAATATTCAATTCTGTTTCCATACACTACCAATGAACAATTCTATTTACAATAGCATCAAAAATAAGACACCAATAAATGGAAAGACAACCTGTGTTTATAGATTGAAAGACTTAATAGTGTTAAGATGTCAATGCTACAGTGACCTACAGAGTCAGTGCAATTCCTATCAAAATCCCAATGACGTTTTTGCAGAAATAGAAAAATCCAACCTAAAATCTGTATGGAATCTCAAGGGACCCTGAAGAGCCAAAAACAATGTTGGAAAACAACAGAACAAAGTTGGAGGTCTCACACTTCCTGATTTCAAAACTTACTATAAAGTAACCAAAACAGTGTGGTACTGGCATAAAGACAGTCATATAGACCAAAGGAATAGAATAGAGGCCAGAAATAAATTCACACACGTATGGTCAAATGATTTTGAACAAGAGTGCCAAGACCATTCAATGGAAAAGAATGGTTTTCTTCAACAAATGGTGGTGAGAAAACTGAATATCCACATACAAAAGAATGAAGTTGCACTCTTACTTTACACTGTATACAAAAATTAACTCAAAACAGATCATAAGCCTAAAAATAAGAGCTAACACTATAAAACTCTTAGAGAAAAACACAGGGGAGAAGCTTCATGACATTGGGTTTGGCAATGATTTCTTGGATATGGAACCAAAAGCAAAGGCAACAAAAGAAAAAATAGATACGTTGGACTTAATCAAAATTAAAAACTTCTGTGCATGAAAGGACACAATCAACAAGAGTAAGAAGGCAATCCTTGGAATGGGAGAAAATATCTGCAAATCACGTATCTGATAAGAGATTGATACCAGAATATCTAATGAACTTCTACAACTCAACAACAACAAAAAACAAACAACCCAATTGAAAAATGAGCAAAGAATCTGAATAACTATTTCTCCAAAGAAGATATACAAATGGCCAGTAAGCACATGAAAAAATACTCCACATCAATAATCATTATGGAATTCAAATCAAAACCACAATGAGATACCTAACTTTACACCTAGTTAGGATGACTTTTATCAAATAAACAGAAAATAACAAGTGTGGGCCATGATATCAAGAAATTGGAACTTTGTGCATTGCCCATGAGAATATAAAATGGTGCAGCTGTGGAAAATGTATGGCAGTTCCTCAAAATATTAAACACAGACTAACCATATCATCCAGCAATACCACTTCTGAGTTTATATCCAAAAGAAGTGAAAACAGGGACTCGAACAGATATTGTACCCCCATGTTCATAGCAGCATTATTCATAATAGGTAAAAGCAACCTAACTGTCCATTAATGAATGAATGGATAAACAAAATGTGGTATATGCATACAATGGAATATTATTCAGCCTTAAAAGGGAAGGAAATTCTGACACATGCTACAACATGAAGGATATTATGCTAAGTGAAAGAAGCCAGTCACAAAGGGACAAATACTGTATGATTCCATTTATATGAGGCCCTATTCATAGTGGTCAAATTCATAGAGACAGAAAGTAGAATGGCGGTTGCCAGGGACTATAGAGAGGGGAATGGGGAGTTAGTGTTTAACGGGCAGAGTTTCAGTTTGGGAAAATGTAAAAGTTGCGGAGATGGGTGGTGGTGATGTTTGCACAACCATGTGAATGTACTTAACGCCAATGGCGTGTACACTTAAAAATGGTTAAAATGGTAACTTTTATGTTATGTACATTTTACCACAATAAAAAATAAAATAATTATGTTATATCCAGAAGAAAAATTGTTTTGATAGGTTTGGTATGCCATTTCCCTGTTTAAGAATACTTCTTTTTTTTTTTTTTAATTTTATTTATTTATTTTTCCCCCAAAGCCCCAGTAGATAGTTGTATGTCATAGCTGCACATCCTTCTAGGTGCTTTAAGAATACTTCTGAGCCACATTCCTGGCATGACCTTCCCGACTGCCCCCACCCCTACCTCTACCACCCAACCTACTACAACATGCTGAATCCTCTTGGTAATCCCGTCTTCCTTGCAAAAATCTAGGCCAATAATTTCCTAGCTTCTTGCTTCTTTCATAATTAGGGCTGCCAGATTGAGTAAATAAAAATACAAGATACCCAGTTACACTTGATTTACAATGAATAATTTTCTATATAAACAGTGAATTTTTTTTTTTGAGGGAGATTGGCCCTGCACTAACATCTGTTGCCAATCTTCCTCTTTTTCGTTTTTCTCCCCAAAGCCCCAGTACATAGTTGTGTATCATAGTTGTAAAGTTGTAGCTTTTCTACATGGGACACCGCCTCAGCATGGCTTGATGAGAGGTGAGTCAGTCCTCGACCAGGATCCGAACCCTCGAACCCCGGGCCGCCAAAGAAGAACACGTGAACTTAACTGCTATGCCACGGGGCCAGTCCCAACAATGAATATTTTTTAATGTAAGTATGTCCCATGCAATATCTGAGTCATATTTATACTAAAAAATTATTCCTTGTTTATCTGAAATTCAAACTTAACTGAGTGTCCTGTGTTTTATTTGCCTACCCTACAAATGATCAAACAGTTCCTTTGATCTATGTGTGCTGTGAATAATATTCCAAACCATTGACTCAAGAGCAATTTTTATGGATGTACTAATTTCTCAGTGTCACTCTCCTTGTTTTTACACAAGCAATTGGGTTAATTATTCCCATTTCTGCTTTTTTATTGCTTCCAATCATTACATGCAATGTTAAGATACTATCTCATAAAAACTCATTTTAATACATGTTTTGAATAATAAATGTGTCCCATGCAGCACCTTTTTAGTAGCAGAAGGATGTGCCTTGAAAAGCCATCAATTGTAATTTTATAATTCCAAGAAGTCCTGCTGTCTTATAGGCAAGGGCCCGTCCGTTTCCACTCCTCCTCATGTAGAACTGAACCATTGTGCTACTGGGACACCGACAGGTGGGTGTTTTCCAGTTATCAAGGCATCAAGTGTTGCAGCTCTGGCACTGTGCGGGGCAGTGTAAGCACTGTCCCTCCTGGGACAACACTGAAACAGACGTCTTTGAAAAGACCACCACTGCAAGCCCCTCCCGCTACAGATCTCAGGCGTGGGGATCTCGGGGGGGGGGGGGCGGGGAGAATGTGTTCCTATGTTGAAAGGCACTGCGAGCCCCTTGGCCTGAGAGCTAACCTAGGACTCTTTACTCCCAGTAGGAAGACAGGTGACGATCAAAGAGACTGCTTGCTTTTACCTGGAAAACGGTGGGTGTGCCAGACCTGAGATCTGGAGGCCTCCCACCCCTCCCGCTACAGATCTCAGGGGGGACCCGGGGGGGGGGGGGCGGGGAGAATGTGTTCCTATGTTGAAAGGCACTGCGAGCCCCTTGGCCTGAGAGCTAACCTAGGACTCTTTACTCCCAGTAGGAAGACAGGTGACGATCAAAGAGACTGCTTGCTTTTACCTGGAGTGGCACCACCCTGGACATCAGGTGATCAAAATAAAGGTCCACTGCTTCGGTGAAGCCCTTGTACGTTGTTCTCAGCCTCATGCCAGAATCTTGGAGCAACCAGCTTGAATACAAAGGGAGGAGGGGGATTAGTTTCACTGTTTGTGGGACTGCTCTGGGCGGGGATGGTGGAGTGAAAGGAAGCAGCTTCAGAGTGCTCAGGAATGGGTCTGGAGCCCACTCCCACCCCGCCACCTCCACTCAGCCAGGAAGGCAGGAGTAGTTCCAGCTGAATGAGGAGCAAGCCCTACAGCTCAAGCCCTGCACTCCGCACTGCTTCCCACCCAAGGACGCCTGCACGGGCAGGGTTTATCTCCAGCACACGGCTCTAGGTCTAGCTGCTAGTCAAGAGGGAGAAAAGCTTTTCACTGGACACCAGAACCAGTTTTCAAGCATTTACTATACAATCTCATTACAAAAGGGTGAAGACAAAAGGATTAAGAATCACTGGGACTGGAGAAGGACACAGACGCAACCTTCCAGTGTCACCCAGAAAAACCAGCCTGAAGCAGAGGCTGAGAGGCTAATCTGGCTTCCCCCACTCTGGTCCAGCTGCTCTCCATGCTGACCTGGCTGGCTCATTTGCATCAGCCTCATCAGCCATTAAGCGCTCAGCTGAGCAAGAGTAAGTCTTCCCACAGCCCCTCTGTTGTGACCACATTCCCCAGATGAACACAGAGCATTAGTTCCAGAGCTGGAGTCAAGGTATTTCTCCTTCTCACCTGAAATTCTGAGAAAACACTTACATTTTCTTACAAAAGGCTCTGATACTTCTCTTGCCCTGCTTTGGAAGTCCTGAACAGGGTCAGAAAATTATCATTTTATGTTAGATAAAAATGGATGAGGAGAGAGCGGTCTCCTCTAGACTGACACCTCCATGTTCCATCTCACGTGGAACAAGTCTGGTTTCTCATCCCCACTGGGACCCTGCCAGTGTCCCAGAGCCCCCAGCTCGGCCACCCCAGGGTGTGCCCACGTACCCCTCTTCCATGCGACCAGGATCTGAATGGACAGGAGTGGCACAGGGGAGGTCTGAGTACTGGGGCTCCCCACCGCTTCTGAGCTAAGACTTAAATCCTGTCCTCCTCTGTGCCCGTTCCAGCTAAGCCTGAGGACATTACTGACACAGATTTCTAATCCCCAGGTGTGGGGGAGGCCACTCTGGCTGTGTGCACAGCCTTGTTGGCACTCTTGCCAAGCTGCACAGCACAGCAACAGAGAAGTGATCCCGGGCAGTGGAAGAGATGGAGACAGATCCTGCCTGTGCTCCCCAGGGAAGGGCTGGGTCATGCTGGAAACAAGAGAGAAAACACGGCTGAGGCTGGTGGCTCTGCTGTGGGGTGAGGCCATTCCCACAGGAGAAGGCATGACAAACAGGATCAGCCTTCTTCCCTCTTGGGATGGCAGGGGGTGGGGGGAGAGTGGGTCTAACCATCTGGAACACTGTGAGGAAGGGAAAGATTATGCCTATTAACGAGAAAATCTCGTTGCCGGACATTAATGGCAATAACGATGAGGATGAGGAATGAATGTGGTGCCAGGTGATTCTGGTCCAGATTTCCACTCTAACCACAGAGCACTCTACTGACCTCAGCGGAAACGACGCATCCTAAGATAATTCATTAGGTCCTGAGATTTGAAGATAAAAGATAAAACAAAAAGAATAATTTGTTTCTCTTATACTTTAACAAAATACTTGGACTTAAAAAGAAAATGCTTGGTAACATCCCTAAAAAACACGCAGGGCAGGTTTGATTTTTCCCATTTTTTAGACAGGGAAAGTAAGGTCCAGAGAAGAATAATGGCCTGACTGAGGTCCCAGCCCCACAGTAGAGCCCTGATGAAGTGAACTGCCTGCGGATGGCCAGCCCTGATCCTGCAGCTTGCCATATAAAAACCACATGGAATTTGACAGGGGCAATAACTGTAACATCATTTTAAATGACCTCCATTGGATGCCACTTATTCTAAAAAAGAACTTAAGTACAGAATGAAAAAATATACTTTAAAAGCAAAATAAACCTACATTTGTGATTAGCGTTTTGCACAAGCACAGAGGCCAGCTCAAGCTGCACCTGGAGCCTCTCACAGCCCCACTCACCTGGGCAAGCCCCCGAGGTCGATCTCACTGCAGATGTAGGGGCCTGGACGCAGAATCACCCACAGCCCGATCTCCGCAGCAGTCAGGACAAAGGCCCTAGGGAGGTCAAGGTCAGCAACTCTCACGCCCTCAGAGTGGAGGGCGAGGCCCAGCCAGCACACATCACATCGCAGGGTGGCGGAGCTGCCAGCTCCTCTCCTCGCTTGCCTTCCTCGCCAACCAGGGAGACTGGGGTGAGTGAAGGGGAGGCCGCAGCCCCTGCCCCCAGCAGAGTAGGGAATCCCTACACCAGCTCCCAGCCTAGGACTGTCTGCACAGCCCCACTGGGGCATGAAGAGGAGGGCAGCAGACAGGGTACAGGGGGGCCCTAACAGTGAACCTGACCCCAACGGCCTTGCCACCCCAGAGGGGCAACCCCTGTCCCAGCCCAGGTGGCTGGGCCACACTGCAGAACGGGGTCGACACTTGGGATTAGGCACCTCTGGGCTGCAGTGAGAGGTCTGGGCTCAGAGGAGGCAGGCCCAGACCCTGGGAGTAACAGGGTCAGGGCTGCAGAGCGTCTGCTGACCTTGACCTGGATGCAGAGCCTTTCCCACTGTCCTGAGAACGAGGCTCCAGACCCTGGTCTCTCTCTGGTTCTCAAGCAGAGCCAAGATGCCCCTACGGCTCCTAATCAACCCCAAGGAGCTACCTCTCTGCCTCCCCTCTCTGCCTCCCCTACCCAGGCCAGGTCACAGAAGCAGCAACAGCACATACTCCAGGTCCAGGTTCCCAGAGAAGTCAAATCTGCCTCTTTCCGGCTCATGGAGGTTCCACGGAACGTAGCTGTAATAGGAAAGATAATTATAGGCCGAGCTTTTCATTTATTCCACTTCAACTCTAAGATTACCTTTTTTATCCCTAAAACCCCTTATGATGGTTGAAGATGTATTTCTTAAGTACATCATGTATTTCTTAATGACGTCAGGACTAGAACCGAGAACTAACTGAAGAGATCTAGGAGCCTTAGTGAATCCAGGGCAGGTCCCTGGGGGACTGATACCCTCAGCTCCTTAGAAGAAGGGAGAAAAGGCCAACAAGATTGGGGTGAAGCATGAGATCTGACCACAGGTCAGCCTGAGTGTGTGCTCCCCTTTCCTCCCTCCCTCCTCATCTCTGCCTCTCTCTCCTCATTGTAGAAAAAGAAGTAACTTCATAGAAAAACAGTTAAAAGTACAGTAAGAGAAAACCTTATTTACCAATCCTGTTTTTACTGAAGCATCCAGAATTTCAACCTGTAACAGAATAGAGGTTCTAACTCTAAAGAGAAGATAAGGAAATGAAGTAAGTTCTTCAAGGAACCCAACTCAAGAGGCAGAAGGGATGGAGTGACGTGTGATAGCCATGACAGCTGCTCCTCTCCTGGCCTCCCACCCACCCCGGCTTCTAGTGGCCCCCCACCAGCTGCAGAGTGGACACAGGTAAAGTGCACAGGGCTTGCTTGCCTCCCATTCACACTCAAGAGTTTCATATTGAAGGAAATAGAGATTATCCCGCTTTTATAAGGCAAAGGCTCCCCCTGCAGTGTTCCTACATGCTCTGGGAGTCCTGTCATTTGTCAGTGTACCCCCAGGATCAGAACTTACATATGCAAATAAATGGACCCTTTAAGTAATCCTTCTGGAGAATGACACACACTTGTGTCAACCTTGCTGTGGTAGCTCAGAACACTCCTGTGACTCGTGTTAGAAATTGTCTTCAAAGCCAGTTCATAAACCAGCCAAGAAAATCCATGTCCTTGATTTGTAATCACATAATTTTGCCTGAAATTTGAATAACCCAGCCTAATAACCCATTTTATTTCATAGACTTGGATCCAAATATCTTTTGGAAATTCTGAAAAATAAATCCACAAAATGATGAAGATTTTTCACAACTGAGCATATTTTTTAACTGATTTGCACATTCAACATTTTACTGAGTGCCTACCATGTGCCAATCACTGTGCTGGGGGCTAGAATGAAAGCCACAGCATTCTGAAGACAATTCCAGGAAGGAATGCTGAAAACTTCTGACAGCCTCTCAAGGTGACTATTTTGAAGAAGACTACATTCATTTGCCGTATAAATTGGTGGGGGGGGGGTGGAGTGCTTGTTAAAGAATTACGTATGATAATTTAATCTCCCCTACATCTATACTTGCCTCCTTCACTACATTCTCTTGTACACCATTGCCCTTTCTGTTCCTCTAGACTTCATATCCATGTCCCATCTTTCCATCCTCACTAATGGGGAGTGCTGTAGGGATTTAGAGGAAGGGAGACTGTCTAACCGGCAGACTGAGGCATATTAGCTCAAAGATTCTCTTCAGGGGCTGCTCAGGTTTAGGATCTGCCAGGGCTCACCCATCCCGACTCAACGGAGACCCCCAGGCTGGGCTCCCATGAGGCAGCCCAGGATACAGCCACGAGGAGCCCTACTTAGTCACCAGGCTTGGTGGCAGGGGGTGGGGGCAGCACTCACGTGGTGAGGGTATTCAAGCCACAGGCTTTCATCTTCAGCAAGCGGTCCCTCCAGTATTCCTTGGGTACACGGAAGTAGTGCACAGAGCCCCCAAAGATCCAGAAGGTGGAGTCCTCCAGCATAAAGTTTTGGCCTTTTGCCTGCAGCCCTGACTGGCGGTGTCTTAGCCATGGAGAGATCAGATTACGCCAGTTCAACCTGCAAAGAGAAAGGGCAGTGGGGAAGCCTCGAAGCTCTTCTTTGGCAGTGAGCAGGGGCACAGAGAAGTGACAGGCTTCCTCTCCTCCTGTGCAGGCCCTCAGCATTTCTTTCTAAAGAGGGCCTGCTTCCAGGGCATTCAGAAAAGGCTCCCCACACCCCGACTCAGGCAACCCTTGGAAGGAGTGTTTCTTCAGCACCACGCACTCATAAAGGGGCGAAGCAAGCTGAGGCTGCAGTCAGAAACGAGAGCAACAACGTGCAACACGGAGACTGCGTGCTACCAAGAGCAAGGACGAGGCGGGCACAGCGCATGGGAAGGGCGTTCTCAGTGGGCTGAGAAGCTGCCTTCTCGTGCTAGGGACTCGGGGCGGGGGTAACACCAGGTTCCTATGATAGCCAGCTCTTCTAGGCCATTTGACTGAACATCAAAACAGCAACCACTTCATACAGTACCTCTGAGCCACCTCATGGTCACAGCTGCCCTGCTCGAGGTATAGATACCTGGAAAGAGGCAGCTGGGTTAGAAATAGCATCTATCATGGACCAAATTTCCAGGCCTTAATTATTATCTGAATATCAAGCGTCAGCCAAGAGATAATCCAGCACAACAGAGAGCCCTACCCGAACGGGCTGTTGCAAATCTTTAGTCCCGAAAAGCACCTCTTGGCATCTCTTGGGTTGGCCAAGGGGAGCCCCTCAAATTGATCCCCGTGACTCAGTGCTCCTAAAATTCCCTCTCTCCCTCTTTTCCACCCAGTCTCCTGAAGGTCATGAGAGAAAGCCAGCAAGAGAAACTATGGAACAGGCAAGTTTCCCACCAGGAAATTTAGGAAAATTGGAGACAGAAAAACAAGAGTGTGAGCAGTCTGAGGCAAAAGCAAATTTTAGTTGCTATTGTGAAAGACGACAAGAGTGGAGCCATATTAAAATAGAGCCAGAGCAGCCATTTCAGAGGAACTGTCTTGCACTTCTTGTTTTCTTTATCTTCCAAACTAGACCTGACAGCCAACCTTCCAAGAAGTCAGTAAGGACAAGAATAGCCTGTTTGTAAGGACTGACAGAACTGGACTTTGCTGGTGACAATCTCAACCAATCAATGAAGTACAAGTCTAGCCTTACCTCATCTAGCACCACTGAACTCTCCTGTAATACAATTCACCCCATCCTCCCTTTTTCCATAAAACCCTAAGCCCCTCTCCTGTAATCGACAGTATTTGGGTTTCTACCTGAATCTATGCTCCCCAAATTACAATTCTTTGATCCCAAATAAATGCTTTGTCTCTTAAACTGGTTTCTGTTTTTGTAGGTTGACATCTGGTGTCAGAAGTGGGTTCTGAAGCGATCTCACCTTCGCATAGCTGTGTCCCCAGGAAACGAGTTCAGTACCCACATGAGCCCCCTGTGTGCTCAGCTGCTTCTACAGACAGCTGACGCCTCTGATCATGGGACCTTTCAGGCTCCAGCCCCTCTCTGAGTTGAGGTCAGTGCCTTTCTTCGGGATTGGTGTAGTGGCTTTCATCATTGCAGGAGAGGTTTCTCTCAAGCAGGCAGGGGACTCCCTGGTTAGGAAGCCGACACAACTTTTGCTGTGGGAGGGGACTTCCTTGGTAGATATGTGAGTACTTTGAATTTTGGAGGGGATTCCCTTGGTAAAAATTTTTGCTTAGACAAACTTTGCTGTAGGTTAATATGCACATGAGGTAACAGTTACTGCTAAGGGACATCCTAAAAGCCAAAGCCACAAAATTGGTGGGCACAGGCTGAGCACTTAAGAGCCATTAGGGTGCTTGCTACCTTAAGAAGGTTCCCATGATAGGATAAGTTGGTCATGGAACAGGTCAGACTGACCCTAGGTCACTCATCAACCTCAAGAAAACTTCCATGCAATGAGGTACCCTGTAAAAACATCACAGAATCCCCAACCCCACAGCACATCACTTATAGGTATTAGCTTGGATCCAAGAAACACAAGGCTTATCTAACCCTATTGATATGCATATAAAAAACCCTATTACCCTTCTAACTTGTGCGCTTTCCTTTACCATGGGACTTTCATTTTCTAAAGTTTCCCAAGAAGTTCCTTCCTCAGGAACTCCAGCTGGGTTTATATTTAAAAACTTTAGTTCTTTCACCTGTAAATTTTTGTCCTAGTGGACTGACAGTACTAAAGAATGATTTAAAATTACAGTAGCCAGTAATGCTTAAGTTCGCACGCTCCACTTCAGCGGCCCAGGGTTCACAGGTTTGGATCCCAGGCGCAGACTTCCACACTGCTCATCAAGCCATGCTGTGGCGGCATCCCATATACAAAAAGTAGAAGAGGATGGGCACAGATGTTAGCTCAGGACCAATCTTCCTCACCAAAAACAAAAAAAAAATTACAGTGGTCACTGGGGCTCCTTTGAGCTTCCAAAACTTGTCTTTTTACACACTAGATTTGAGAACCACAGACCAGACAAATTAGATGAAATCTTTAACTTCTAAAGAGACCAGTGCACCACTTTCCGGCACACCAGCTTAAAAACTATGGTTCTGGAAGCTATAAATATTTACAAAGAACAGCAAGATCTTACCAGGCTTGTTTCGTGTCCTGAGAGCTTGGCTTAGTAACCGTCAGGTTGGGGGCCCTAAGACATGGCTGGACAGAAATGTTAAACTCCATTTGTGGCTAGGGTCCTACCAAACTGCCACCAGCCTCAGGGGAATTACACTGGCCATTAGAAGGAACGTTCTAATTAGACAAAATAATTTAAGAAGTCCACTTAAAAGCACCGACTTCAAAATTCCAAAATAGCCTTATTGAAAGCTTTGTTGCAAAAAGCTAATGAAAAATTAAAATATAAGAGGTATCTAAAGGAAAAGACTATACAAAAGTCTGTTAGGTTAGTGCCTTTATAGACATCCCTACATCTACCTTCAAAGGAGGGCCCCACATGGGCCCTTCCCAGGGTGAATGAGACTCTGAGATTTTCTGGTAAACTGCTACACATTCCCTTAAACAATCAAGGGGAAACTAAAAAAAAAAAAAAAAAAAAATGGAGTTAATACTGCCAGAAATATTGTTTGTCCTGGCTGAAACCCGACAAGATATTTGAAAGGATTTAGTAACTTATGATCAGAAATCTGGCCAAATTCAGGCCAGCCCCATGGCTTAGCGGTTAAGTGCATGCGCTCTGCTACTGGCGGCCTGGGGTTCGGATCCCAGGCGCGCACCGGTGCACCCCGTCTCCAGCCATGCTGCAGCCGCGTCTCACATACAGCAGCTAGAAGGATGTGCAACTATGACATACAACTATCTACTGGGGCTTTGGGGGGGGGGGGGAAAGGAGGAGGATTGGCAATAGATGTTAGCTCAGAGCCGGTCTTCTTCAACAAAAAGAGGAGGATTACCACGGATGTTAGCTCAGGGCTGATCTTCCTCATAAAAAAAAAGAAAAAAGAAAGAAATTTGGCCAGATTGGAAGCTGACATTCAGAGCCTGGTAGGATTTTTTTCTAATATGCCTCTTTCCTAAGTTAAAATAAAACTATGTACCCAGAGTGAAAAAAGAAAATTAGGGATGATATAGTAGGGTAGGTAGATCAACCTATGACGTCATTCAAGTTACAACGCAATTTCTGAGGAATTGAGAGCCACTGTCCTTATCCTACAAACCTTCACAAAACTGGAATTGCAGCTCTGGAGGCAGGTCAGGTTCCACCCATTCTCTTTCATTAATCCTCAAACCTCCCCTATTTATCTCAAAAAGCTTGTAACCTCTCCAGAAACTGTTATCTAGACCATCACCAATTCCTAAGACTGAAGGGGAAAAAAAAAGGAAAAAAGAGAAAAACGAAGAGAAGAAGAAGCACCCTTTCCCAAAATCTAGAATCTTAAGTGTCTTCTCCACAAATATTAGTAAAAAAAAAAGCTTTAGCCAACTAAGCAGGTAACCTTAATTTATTCCATCTGCCAGAAACAAAATTTGGATCAAATTATTCTTTCATAACTAGTGAGCTTTGTATTACTGTGCCTGATTCATGGCAGTAACTTTAAAACAATAGCTATGGGGTCTCTATATATAGACACACATATGTTATAAATGTGTGATATTTTTCTACCTTCAGATGATATTATCACATTTAGTTTATGAGAGCTCTATTTAATTGCCTTAAAGTAAGCATTTATATAAGTTATTTCTAAATGTAATAGACACGAACCCAAATATTTTTCATATCATCATGATATAAAATAATCTTTGATGGGGCCAGCCTACTGGCACAGTGGTTAAGTGCGCGCGCTCAGCTGCGGCAGCCCGGAGTTCGCAGGTTCCGATGCTGGGCGGGCACCAACACACCGCTTGTCAAGCCATGCTGCAGCAGCATCTCATATAAAGTAGAGGAAGATGGGCACGGATGTTAGCCCAGGGCCAATCTTCCTCAAAAAAAAAAAATAATAATCTTTGATAAATAAAACTTATTTAAGTTTGTTGGTCTGACTGAAATAGGCATGTTTTCAGAGTTATCGGCATTGGATATGATGCAAACATGTGGCCGTTATTCTACCTAGTCAAATAAGCTCATGTTACGTCTGTTACAAAATCTGTCAGGAAAAATAATAACTTAGAATGATAGCTAATGTTGTCTAATGTCTCAGGAAATTTTCATGGGTAATCTAAACATAATTGTTGGGAGCAAATGATTTAGGTAGATGTAAGTGAGATAAGAGTTTATAGATAAACTTTTTAGCAATAATTATATTTTTATGGCATGTGTAATTAAAATAGCTTCCAAAATCTTATAACTTGAAACCTTAGAGTTTTGCTAAATTAAGTTCAATGATAAAAATTTGAGTAGATCATTTCCAAATAAGGTAAATTATTAGTAGACATTAATTACTAAATATAGGTTTATCTACTTTTGGCTTCTTCTTATAGAAAAAGTTTAAAATATTTGGGTTTATTAATAAACATGTTTTGTGCCACACTGAGAAATTTTCTATGAGAAAGCACATGTTTCTAGAAAGTATTTTATAAGTCTGCCAACCCATAGAATGCTAATGTAAAAGACAGTTCATAATTGCTTACTTCTTAGTTTTCACTAAATATTAAGGCTTCTAAGGGTTA